TCACTACCTTCTTGTAAGTCGATAGTCCGGCTCGTTTTTTGGCTCGATGCACGGTTGTAGACGATACACCCAGCTTATTTGCGGCATCTCGGAGAGAGAGGTTAGGGTTTCGCTTGAAACTACCGGCAACTCTCTTTGTCGTCTCAGCGGCTTCCGGTTTTCGATTTCCCCCCGATCCAGACTTCCTGGCTGTCGACAAACGTTCCCCAAACACTTTAATTACATTTGTAACGGTTGATTTGGCAACTTTTAGCGATTTTGCCAACTTTGCGTGCGAGTAGCTCGGATTTTCGCGATGCGCGAGCAAAATTTTGATACGCTGCTCTTCTTGCTTGGACGGCATTTTGACAACTGAAGAGTGAATTCCAAAATCAAAATAGGAGCAACATTCTACACACACACACACCTTCAAAATGAGGGGTGTTCAGGTTTTTTAAATGCAAAATTGAAAGAAATACGTCAAGTTGATATTGACCAAATTTTGACCGTATCACCCTTTAGCATAGTATGGTATACTATAGTTGAAGATTTTCAGATCAAAACTTGATCAACCAGAAGCCTCTGATCACCTGATGGTGTTTGGAAAATTTTCTGAGTACCTTGCAACATGAGAGAATATCCAAGAGATGTGATTTGAATTGTTAGGCAGTCTAAAACAAATATCTTGAGCATATTTTGGAGATCTATGATGACTTGGGGGTCTTTTGAATAATTTCTGAGCAACCTGGTATGTTGAGAGAATATCTGGGAGATGTGATTTGAACTGTTGGACAGTTTAAGATCTTCAATTTATGATGATTGCCTGTAGGTTTTTTGAGAGAATATCTGGGAGTTGTGATTTGAAATGTTGAGCAGTTGAAGATCTTCAGAATGAAGCCTGGCCAAACTGAAGTCTAAAACAAATATCTTGAGAATATTTGGGAAATATATGATCACCTGGAGGCCTTTTGAGAGGATCTTTGGGATATATTTTTTTTAGTTTTCCGTCGATCTTATTTTCTGTAGTGAGTACCAATGCTACCGATGTCAGGGAGGCAGCTCTCACACTTAGACCCTACTTATCGACCCATCAACTCTCATGGACCGGAGACCAACGGCTTTACACCCCTGACGAAGAAAGGCGTGACCAGGGATTTTATGCATCAGAACATCCCGTTGACGCCGTCTGAGATTGAATCCAGGCCCTTTGGAGTGAGAGGCAGTCACGCTTATCTGGGAGATATGATTTAAATTGTTGTGCAGCTGAAAATCTTCAGTATGATACCTGATCAGACTGAAGTTTTGATGAAATATTTGTGGACTTTTGGAGATGTCTGATCACCTGGAGGTCTTTGAAATAATTTCTGAAAAATTTGTTATTTGAGAGAATATCTGAGAGATGTGATTGGAAATGTTGGGCAGACGAAGATCTTTAAAATGACACATGATCAAGCTGAAGTCTTGCAAAAATAACCTGATGAGTATCTTGAAATGTATAATCACATGGAGTTATTTGCAATACTTTCTGAGTGACCTGGTATTTTAGAGAATATCTTAATTGTTGGGCAGTTGACAATCTTCAGATTGAGTCTAAAACAAATATCTTGGGGAGTTTTTGGAGATTTTTTAAATTAATTTCTGGAAAACTTGCTATTCGAAAGAATAGCTAAGAGGCATGATTTGAATTGTCGTGCAGTTGAAGATCTTCAGAATGATAACTGACCAAACTGAAGTCTTGAACAAATATTTGAGAACTTTTTTTAGATGTCTGATCACCTGGAGGTCTTTGAAATAATTTCTGAGCAACCTGCTATTTGAGAGAATTTCTAAGAGATGTGATTTGAAATGTTGAACAGATGAAGATCTTCAAAATCATACATGATCAAGCTGAAGTCGTCAACAAATATCCTGAGATCTTTTTGAAAATCCTTGATCACTTGGAGATCTTTGATGTAATTTCTAAGCGACCTGGTATTTGAGAGAACATCTTGGAGATGTGCTTTGAATTGTTGGGCAGTTGAAAATCTTCATAATGATACCTGATCAAGCTGAAGTGTAGAACAAATATCTTGGGGATTTTTTAGAGATCTATGATCATCTGGAGATTTTTGAATAATTTTTGAAATTGTTCAATTGTTGAATTGTGGGACATGTAAAGAATTATACCTGATCAAGCTGAAGTCGTCAACAAATATGTTGAGGACTTTTTGGAGATCTCTGATCACTTGAAGGCTATTGGAATAATTTCTGAGCAACCTGTTATCTTGAAACATAACTGGGAGATATGATTTAAATTTTTGTGTAGTTGAAGATCTTCAGTATGATGTCTGATCAAGTTGAAGTCTTGAACAAATATCCTGGAATATTTGTGGAGATCTATTGTCAGCTGGCTATGACATAATTTTTGTAGTATTTTAGAGACAGTTTGGACAGTTGAAGATCTTCAGAATGATTCCTGAACAAACTGATAAATAGCTTGAGGACTTTTTGGAGATCTCTGATCACCTGGAGGTCCTTTGAATACTTTCTGTGCAACCTGGAATGTTGAGAGAATAGCTCAGAGTTATAATTTGAATTGTTGGGCAGTTGAAGATCTTCAGAATAGTACGAGGTGAATCTGAAGTCTTGAACAAACAACCAGGGGACTTCAAGGAGATGATTCGATTACCTGAATATATTTTAAAAATTACTGGTCATCAATGCATTATCAGTGAATATAAGAAGTATTATTTGAATTGATGATCTATTGGAGATCTTCAGAAAAATACCTTATATTTCATCTCAACAGGTGTTATTTGGATTCCTGATTTGATAAAGATCTACATATATCTGGTGAACCAGAAGTCTTGAACAAACATCTAGAGGGCATAAAGAAAATCTTAGTCAAATACAGTCACTTCTTCCTAATTCGATATTGAAGGGAGATTCTCTTATAACATCATGTTGCTCAGATTTTTTTTAATCTCTATAAAATCCTCTAGATGTTTGTTCAAAATTTCAGGATCATCTGCAGTTCTATGGTGTCAGCTGTTTTCCCCTTGATATCAATAAGTTTAGCACATTTTTAATAAAGACAATCGTTCTCAAAATTTTCGACGCCCATAACGCCCATAGAATATGAAACGCCCCTCTGGTTTTCCGTCCCTCATGAAAAGGCCTGCACACTATTTTGAGTGGACCCATGAACACTATAGTAGGCTAATAAATTACTATTCAGAATGACGACCGATGGTCCCTTCAAGTTCGAGAAGCCGAAAGTTCACTTTATATTGATGAAATGAGTTATTTATGTCTCCACAATGAACACCAAATACAATTGATCATTTTCTTGTTGGCTTTTGAAAATCACAGAGGCTGAATGACACCCTAATATGTCAGCACCGTGAATTCTCTACGATCTGATATTGGAGACAATCACCAACACAGTAGCCATGATATTATTTTTTGCTAAGGTTCTTTAACTCGATATATTTAGCAGCATTGATAATTAGCTGTCAAAAGTGTCCATATTTCAATGCTATACGGTGCAAGCATTAGTAAAACAATCATCGACTTGACAATCCTAAAGGAATAGAATTTGTTTTGCAAAAAAGTCAGCCCGTTCCCAAAAAAGTTGCAAGGTGTCTTATTTCAAACCGGTTGGCAGTTATGTTTTACAAAATATTAGTAACTTTGTGGCATCTCTCAACATTGAACTGCATAATTTCGTTTCCAAAAGCCACCGGAAAAGTCTAGCAATTGCTTTTCTATTCTTTACATCGCCCAACATTATTTTGATTCCACATACATACACAACATCATCCCTATCATCCCTACATCAGTCACCGGGGAGAAATGCCATTCGCCAGCGAAGAGCGACCGACGGGCAGCAAAATTGAAACCCACTTTTTTCCAAGACGTGGAAAGCAGCGCGAGTGGGTGAAAGGTAAAATGTATTGCATTTTATTATAATAAAATGCAATCCTCTGTGATGCACTTTTCCGCCTGCCAAACGTTGGGCAAACGCGTCCGTCGGATATATACGTGTGTACATACATACAAATGCACCACCGTGAAGGGTTATTATCGTATGTATATGCAGCGCTGCAAATGCAATACCCACGTGCATCAAGGATCATCGCCGAGCTAGTGGCATAGTGGCAGCGTGGCGGTTTGAGGTGCCACCACGGTTGCCACCTTCTTCTTCGACGTGGCTACTTGGTTGGCCGTCCGTCTCGTAGAGTAGAGCTATAGAGGCCCGAACAGTCTCGGGTTCTTTATTGTCCGTTCGAAATCCGTCCGAGCAACTTCTCGATGCGTGGTACGCACCGGTGCAAGAGTTTTGAATTCTGTCCCCACCAAGGACTGGAGGCACCTGTTGGGAGCTAGTTGAACTAACTGGTCTTGTGTTTTGTGCTTATTCTCTAATTTCAGGCGCAGCAACTATGATCGAGCGGCGGTGATGCTGGCTTGGAACTGAACGTGAACTAGCCGGAATAGTGAGACTCTGATTTCTGTATGGTGTGCCCTATCGAGACGGGGCCTGGTATTGGTGAGAGTGGTTGACGCTATTCTCTCGCTCTCGCGTGCGGCGGCCACTGACTGCGAACTTGACTCCTGCTCCTGCCACGGATGACATCACGGTATCCTTATGTACTACTGTAGCTACCCCAGCAGGTGGGGGTGAGCTAGCGTGTGAAGAAACGTGGCACGTCGCGGGATGGGGTGGTTCGGAAACACCACCATGAACTTCGACAGCTAAGAAGCAAGAAGATGCAAACGGCCAGGCTCAAACGGTCGTCGTTCGTCTAAGACGTTAGTTGGTCGGCTGCACAGGTCGTTTCGGATTTTTCGGAAACCGGGTTGCGCGCGTGAAGTGTCACGGGAAGCACGTGGTGGGTGCGCGCGAGGGGGGCAAACTACTGGCCCTGTGAGATTGTGCGTGCTCGGAATCTAGGAAGTATCCCGAAAGAAGCTGGTGAATTTTTAAGATGGAGGAAATCTTAAACTGGAAAAAAGTGATGAACTGAAGACTGAAAAGTGTGAAAGCGAGAACATTGTGTCAATAAGTGAAACAGTAGAGTTACTGAAACAAAAGTATTAAATAGTAGAATTAGTTTAACGAAAAATATCTCAAATAAGTATTAAAATTTGTACAAATTTGTAAAAAAAACACCTTAAATATCGGAAAACATTCCCCCTAAAAAAAGTACACAAATGTAAACAAACCAAACTACGCAATCTTAAAAAACGTATAATCAAAAAGTTTCAAACCTCTAACAAAGGAAGTTTCCATAGCGGAAAAAAGGTGCAATAAAGAACCAACTCTCAGTGCTAGAGAAGAAAAAAAAAATCAAAATCTCAAGACCTCCTCCCAAGAAAGAACCAGAAGAAGACAAATTTCTTAAAGGAGCCAGCAAACCAACACCAGCAAACGACAAGTGCGAGCAAAGACGCAGGAAGAAATACAAAAACATTCAACGCACACTTCGATCGACCGACGTACTTTCTCGCTCTCCGCATCTTCTCTTTCGCTCGCAGTTCCTTAAGAATAAGGAGTCAGTCCCATACGCATACCGGTCCGCCCGTCCGCTCGATAGGGGGTGGTGGTGGTGGTCAAGCCGAGAAAAAAGCCCACTTTGTGTACCAAACAAAAGGGGGAGGCTAGCCGGAGATAGAACTCATCCAATCGATACCGGGGGAGAAAGCGAACGTCTTCCGAAGTCGGGAAAATGAAGGAGTAAGGATTCGTTCTTGCAGTGCGCGATGAAGCAAAGAAGAACAGCAAGAAAGCAGAAACTAACAGAGCTTCCATTTGTTTTTCTCTCACCAGAAACGCCATGATCGACGTGTTCGATGCGGCGGAATTCAATCCGGACGCGATCCTGTCGAATGTGTTCCTGGACCCGGGGTTGGATTTCATTACCAGCAGCATTGATGAGCTGGGCGAGAACATCATGGGGATGGGTCCGGACTTTCTTCACAGCTTCGGGACGACGCAGTTGTTCTTTCCGGAGCAACCACCGGCGACGGCACTGGTGGGGATGGCGGAGAATGGTGTTGGTGGTGGTCAGCAGTTGTTGTCGAATCAACAGCTACAGCAACAACTGCCATCATTGCAGCAACAGCAGCAGCAACAAAAATGTGTAGTTGACCAGGTGAGTCCATTGATTAGAGCATTTTTATGCGGTGATTTTTTGTTGCTGTGGCCATTGAAGTGTGACGAATTGAATTAGTGAGTAAAATAATACTATATTCGTCGCATTTTTCATTCATGAAAACGAGTGGGCTAACGGTGATAGAGTTGTGGTGCTGGGATGGATATTGTAATTTTGAGAATGCAGCAAACTGAAGCGGCCCTGAATTATTCAATTAACCAGGGATTATTACTTAATGCCTGAAATCATTTTTACCTTGAAAGTTGTTGGTAGGTCATGCATTGGGGCGCTTAATTTTGAAAAAAAAGTTTACTATAGGCCGATTCAATGCTCAAAAATATGAGTCAATGTAAAAAATGGTAAAGATTGATGAAGGTTTAGAGGTCGCACCAATGGATTGAAGTTTGTATGGAGATTTTGGTGAATTACTATGGAAAATTATTGAGTTTAACTTACATTGCTCTAATTTTGGTTGTAGCTGTCCAAACAATGTCATTTGATATGTGGTTGTCATGACATTGAACAACACGCCTGTTTTTATTGTGATGAAATTTGTGCCATTGTCTCCCTAATTTTCATCTGTCAATGTACCCTATTTAGTATTTTTCACATGTCTATCTTTATTGATATGCTGTAAAATCGATCGTAACAACAATAGACTTGGTCATTGCCACAACATAAAGGGTGTATTCGATAAAAATGGTACACACATATTTACTCACAAAAATTAAACCGAAAATCGGATTTCTTCAAATTTTCAGGTAATGAAAAATTACTAATGAGTTATGATTTACAAAATTAATTTTATTGAATATCATCTCCCATCCCGAATGCCTGCACCTTCCTTTTCACTTCACCCATCAAATTTTGTACAACCGATTTCCCCAGTATTTTTGTTGTTTTTACACAAATTTTCTTCAACTCCAGCTCTGTTTTAATAGTTTTAGGGTGTTTGCGAAGGTCCGTATTGATAATTGCCCAGAATTTTCCAATTGATCATTTTGTCAAGCTTCTGCATTCATGTTCCATCAGATGTCACAGCTGTTGTTTGCGGTGACTTCTATCGGAAACTAAACATAATCTGTTTTCCTATAATTGTTCACAGAGGACACTGCAGTGCAAAACATATCTGGTACCTCTATATATGCATTTAGATTATTATTCGAAGTTCCTCCTTTTTTACACATTCTGCACACAAAATAGCTCACCCCTCACAGAATTTCCCGCCGAATTTTATGTATGGGACGGGGCATAAAGTATCTTTTGCGCAGAATATGTAAAAAAGGAGGGACTTCAAATGTGAAAGCAAATGCATATATAGAGGTACCAGACATGTTTTGTAGTGTCAGGTACTCTATTTTGTAATCTGTGAAAGGGAAATCACAAATCGAGTGTCAACAAAATACATGGCATGTTGAGAGATTGAGCTCGTGAGAGAGAATTTCTCTCTCAAATTTGAATTTTTTTGGCTCTCTGGGGACTGGTAGTAGAGCAGGTAAAATTGTATGGGGAAAAATCATTTTTATTTAATTGTAGCTTGTTTAACAATAATTTCCGTGAAAAAACTGAACGACAAAGTCCCTGATTAATTTCTTTAGGTTGTTGTTCACTTTTTTAATCTGAATATGCACCGAAAGCGAATTATTCCCACTTCTCTCAATTTCTATATGGGGATTTTTATCACTTCCTACCAGCGGAACAGCGCCATCTCTGTGATTAATTGGGCGAAGTTCCGGTGAATTTGGTGGGTTCATATCTTTTGGCAACAAAATTGACTCTGTTGGCTCGGTACCACTCCATCACGTTTCGAGCGTAGTGGCTAGATGCTAGATCAGGCCAAACCAGAGTTGATCCTTTGTGCTTCCTAATGAATGGTAAGAGACGCTTGTTAAGGCACTGAGTAATTTCACCGCATCCCTAAATCGCCTGCCAGATCAGGAACTTCTTTGCAAATTTCGATAATTTCTTCTTTCGAACATCCTCCGGAACATCGAACTTAGACTTGGCAACGAAATATTCTTGCCCAGGAAGTTGACGGAAGTCGGCCTTGACGTAAGTTTCGCCATCCATCACGATGCAACACGATTTGGTAAGCAACTTCGTGTAAAGTTTCCAGGCGGGGGTTTTCGCAGTGATGTTTTGCGTTCCGGTTTGGGGCTTTTGCACCTTGTAAACATGTAACCCAGCACGTTTCATGGTTTTCTGCACAAAACCGACGGACACCTTGGACTTTTTAGCGACATCTCGAATTGACATGTTTGGATGGTTTTTGAACTGTTGCACCACTTCCCTGGCCATTTTACCAACCGGTGAACACTCGTGTTTATTTCAGTTACCGTGGGGACGTAATTTGTGATTAGCCCCGGTCCCTTTCAAATCGTATCATTATTTATGTACGGTCCTTATATTTTAAATGACGTTTCACATTCATCTAGTGATGGGCGATTTTCATTCGAATAATCGACTAATCGATTAACGAACCGAAAAGTAAAATATTTGTTATTGGTTATATCATACCGATATAAGCATTAATATTTCCAGAGGACCATTCGCGATCGTCTTAAACATGTGCTGCACTCTCATTGGTGGAAAAATGGCAGCACAGTGAACAAAAAAATAATCAATTAGTTGTTGATCGAGTAATTAAAAAATGGGACATCTCTGATTTTGGTGTGATTGTTTTGATAAAAATGAGCGCAAAATTACATCTCTACCGAGAAGGCAGCATAACCACAAAATTACCTTGAATACGGGGGGTATTCATTGGATGAAAGGGTGAAAGAGGAGACTAAAATGGAAAGTTTGTTTTCGACAGTTTCATCTTAGTATTCATCTTTGATTTTACTGTCCATTGGACCACTTTTACGACTACTTCCTTCGGGCACTCAGGCACTCCTGGAAGGTTCTTATCACACGAGACACAGTTGTATTTGCAATACTAAGCTTTTTAGTGATCCATCGGTGGGACGCCGACTTTGATTGTAAGCGCACAACATTTTTTCACGGATAATTTCTTGACATGACTTGAACTACTCTATGAATAACTCTAAGAAATGAGACAATACGGGGGCAAAAACGAACCACTTTGCTGTCAAACGTGAAACAGCTCGTGATAGGTCGATTTGAAGTGCGTAAGATAGAGATAGCGATAGATATAGATAGAGATAGAGATAAAAGAGTAAGAAGCCAGTTGTCTTCTCTTCCTCTTAGGAATAACTAAGAAACTTGACAGATGTAAACAATACACTATGAATAAGATTGACTCAAATTTTCAGGTTTTTTACTCAGACGGTTCAAAAGTTACAGAAGATTTTGCCATTTTTATCGAATACACCCTCCATTAATTTTATTTTGGGGCTATAAATCGAACTGGAGGGTGGTCTATAATAAATTTAACCCTGTTTTCAAAATGAAGCACCCTACTGTGTCGATCGAAGTGGAATGATTCTAAAAAAGCGACAATTTTAACAAATACTTTACAGGCTGTAAAGGAAAAAGCAGGAAAATCACAAAATATCTGGGAATTTATTTCTATCTGCGTTAAAAAGTGCGACTGTGTGTTTGAGAGCCTGATAAGCTCATACAAAACAAATGGCGTGGCCATGAAATTTAACTGTGGATTCCTTAATTTCTTGCAACAAATGTAATGGCAGTTCTTACAATGGACTGTAGCGTACAAGCAAGTTTTTCCAGAATGACTATTTTCGTACAAAACCTACACGAGATGATTTTATAGCTACAGTGCATTTGGGGAAACAAACCTTTTTTTTTCGAAAATTGAGTTAAAATAAAAATTTCAAAATTATACGAAAAACCTTCTGCTGACCACTTTGCAGAATCTGTTTAGGCGGTGAATCATTAGAAATCCTGCATACTTTTTAAGACTGTAATACAATCTTACATTTACTGGTTGGATGTACAATTTTAAATTCTTGGCATAGATTGGAAAATATATGCAAAATATTGGAGCACCGATAGTCTAGTCCAGGATTTACAAATTCGTGCTCCACCAAGCCGTGGAGTTTTCATTATGAAAAAAGAAAGTTGGGTAAAGGGGAACATGTAACGAAATTATGAAATATTTTAAACTTTAATAACTCAGCTGCCTGGATCAATTTCAATAGTTTTATCTCCAATCGTTCAGAAATATTTTTACACATCGAGAGTAATGCTTCCCACTGTTGATTTTCAACAAAAAACTATTGAAAAAGTGGAAAATGTCAAGCAGCGTCGAAATAACTAACAAATCCTCCAATGCATATGCTGCTCACCCAACACAGTCATCAGAGAATCGTTTCTAGACGAAACATGTCGATGTAGCATTGCTGCTTACCCAACAAAGCCATCAAAGAGTCGCTAGTAGGCGAAACAAGTCGAAGTGGCATTTGCAACGTTCCCAACGACCACACAAAATGCTCTCGATAGTTGTAATCTTGTAACCAAACTTGGAAGTTGGATTCTCTTCATCGACTTTCTGTTTCTTTAATAACTCGACGGCAAACACATTCATTGATACGTTTGTTGTTCTGGATGATAGAAGAGCATAGCAGAAATAGGTTAGTGAAGCCATGGTCATCAAAAGAGGAAATCGATGAAGAGAATTGACTTTCACCCCTCTGCTTCTAAGCCCTTTATTTCAGTCGTCGTCATAGCAATGAAAACTATTATCGCACCGCTTTTGGTTCTTGGGTTAAGGGCCACCCACATTAGATCCGTATGCGTTGCGTTGACGTAAATTTGACAGTTAGACAATAGATTTAACTGTCACTTTGCCGCAACGCGTCCGATCCGAATCTAATGTGCGTGGGCCTTTACACTTGCTGGTTGCATTTCTGCTGTTCGACATTTTCGAAGGACCACCTAAAAACATGAAATTACACTATTTCCTAGGGATGCCTAAAAGTCCAATTATTCGATTAACGATGAATCGTAAAGATTTTTCGAGCTATTCGATTAAATATTTATCAAATTTTCAATTTTTCGAGGGCGCAACCGACATC